TTTTTTTTAAAAAGGCAAGAAAAGTAAAGTAAGTTTTGAATGAGGTGTGGAGACGATGATGAAGGCCTGGAGAAGAGTTCAGGTTGTCTATATGTCCGTCAAAAATGAAAATTGACAAATTCAAAATGATTTGAAAACACATGTGAATACGAATGAAAAATGACAGGAACTACGATCTATAGTAAGCATTTTCGAATGCAACGACTAGTGAAAGGAATTTTTTTTTTTTTTGTAAAATGAAATCAAATTGAGCTGTCTTTTTCTATTTTCTGACAGTTCTCATCTAATTGTTCTCCAAAATTCGCTCTCATTTTTTTTTTTTAGAAACCATTCTATCTTATCATTCATCCTTATCAGTCAAACTTATACATCAAATATTATATCATTTCACTTAGCTAAAGTTTACTTCTTTTTTACCACCCAGCTGCAAAAATCTTTTCAACTTTTTTTTTCTTTTTGTTGTTTAGCATTTACCGTTATTATTATGCACATTAAAAAATTTCAAATTAAAATTATTTGCAAATTTGTTATGTAAATTCTAACTGAAGAAAAAAATTTCAAAAGTCAACGAGATATTTTATTAGCAAGCTATAATGATAGAAAAAAGAAATTCATTAGTAAAAAGAAGCAACCAAACAATGGGGAAAGAGAATATGAATGGAGGAGGAATTGTGGACGGTTCAAAAATGATGATGCAATTTTAAATTGCACACTGAGGAATTTTTTAGAGGTGTAAGAAAAAATTGAAAGAAATATAGGAAGCTTTAGACTATGGGAAAAAAGAAGCATGACAATCACAGTATTTGTTGATTTCTTTTTTTTTGAAAAAAAAAAGAGATCAAAAAAATTAGCAAAAAAAAATTTCTATAATGAATCTTCAAAAAATTGAAAATTTTATAATTTTCTTATAAGTTTCCATATGGAAATTTTGACAAATAAATTAAAACTTTCTGTTTTTCTTTATTACAATTTTTGAAGATCAAAGTAATTTTCTTTTTTGACAGCTCGTTCTCCTTTTATCAACCAGTTGCTCTCGCAATTAATTTTTTCACAAAAAAAGAGGCCCGTTTAAAAGGAGCAACCATAGCTATCTATGAATTTAAACTTGTTTTCCATATGAGAAATTATATTAAAATGATAACTTCATATTTAAAAAAAAAAAAAAAAATTTGACAAAAACATTTAAGCGAGAATGATATTATGAAATGAAAATCTTTTCTTTTTTAACTTCTTCATTTCATATAACTAACTGACAATTTTCGTGAAGTATGTGCAAATACATATCTATTTTTATCATTTTGTGTTCGTAAGCAAGCAATTTGATGAATGGACGGAAAAAAGTTGATTGAAAATCTTCGACATGTTGTATTATTTCAATTTTTTCCTCGTGTACTTTCGTTTTCTTTTTTTTTTTAAATTTTTGTAAATAACGAAAGAAGAGAAGAGAGAGAATTTTGTGATGTATAGAAAAGTATAATGACGACACGATAAGTTAATGATAAATGACATTCCCAGATTTTTTACATGAAGATGGCCACTTCTTAAATTTACATTTCTTTTGTCTTTTGTTTTTTTTAGCTTTTTCAATGAGGAAAAAAAGTATGGGAAGTATGTGGTGCAATTTTATTCATCATTTACACTTCGAAAATTAAATTATTATGATTGGATTGAATGTATCACAGATCGAGATGTGATATTCGAAAGTACCTGAAATTGGAAAAACCGTTATATCGATTTCATTTTTTTTTAAGCCGAATTGAAAAATCAACACAATCATTGAAAAATGCATAATCGTTTAAAAGGCAATTGAGAATTCACTGAATTATCTAAAATTTATGTGTTCAATTTGATTCCAATTTAGCTCACAAAAAAAAGATTTACAATAGTTATCATTAAAATTATTGAATTATTAAACCTTTTAGGATTGTCATTATATTATAAGTAATTTTAGATGAATAAGTAAGTTCATCAATTTTAACTTCATTATTATAATTTACACTTCCAGAGAAGGTTGAATAAAAAGTAACCAACCGTGTTTCACTTCCATACCAAACATCCTTATGATGTACAAATGGATTACAGTATAATGGCGTATTGGTTCATATCGGAATGATAATTGTGCAACAGTAACTTCCTTAGCTTCCGAAATAATTTTGAAACTTTTTTTATTTTAATTTTAGACATTGAAAATTAAAAAAATTTTTCAAATAATGAAAGAATGTTACAACGATATGGTAATAATTCAATTCACACGTACAACATATCAATCATTATCCGTAGGTAAGGATGGTTAAAGTAAAAATAGAATGAAAATTTATTTAATGAAAATTAATTAAATCGATATCACACGTGGATGATATCTTGTAAAGAAAAAATGATAAGGAAATGTAAGAATTTGAATTGTTTTCCTTATCAAGTTAGTTCAATCATTTTAAAAATTAGGTTAGAAAAACGAATAAAATTTGAATATGAGAGGAGATTATTTCTTGATAAGGATCAGTTGTCTTTTGTAATTAGTTTATGGAAACTAATTGCAAAGAGCAACTGATTTAATAAACAATTGATGCATGTTGTGAACTGTGTTATCATTGTTAAGCAAATTTTGATCCAATTCCCAATTACTTACAAAAGCTACTTATTTAATGATTTACAAAATTTATTTAAAATTTTCATAAAATTTGGTAAAATTCGAGTATAAACTCAATTTACTGCAAGTATCTCAGATTTGATATTCATAAAATTTGTAGGCGATATTTGGTAGCCAAATTTACTATCCACAGTGATATATGCTCCATGTATAAATTAGCATCCAAATTTCAATTATCGCAATCCGAAATGATTTATATCACCAGTAATTAACTGAAATGAACATTATCATTCTGATCCCATAAGCATTAAGTTTGAACCAGAAGAAAAAGCCAAAATCAAATGGGATCTGAATAATTGGTATTAATTTTGAAAAATCATTTTCTTGAAAGGATTATCATTTCAGCAGAACTGATTGCAAATGAGAAAAGTGGAAATTTGTCATCTGCAGTAATTTCCGGAAAAACTGCATCTAAACCAGTATTCACTGCTACTGGCTTATTGTTGTCATCTTTGTGAGCAACTAAAACGGATGAAAATGAAACATGCATGCGAAATAAATATATTTCACTTTATTATTTCATTTTCGTTCTTCCTTTTTTTAGCAAAAAAAAAAAAAAAATTATTTTATCCAATTATTACATACTATCAGTTTTCCATCTAAGCATATAATTACAAAAGGAAAAAACTTGGAATAAATTGAAATCAATTTAAATTTGATTATCAATATTTCTCTCTCATGAAATGTTAGAAATTAAAATAAAGGCTAAACAGCAATTTAATAAGTATGATTATAAATGCAAAGGAAGAAAAAGTATACTCACTGATGAAATTATTGAAAAAGTCAGACTAATGATGAAATTTGCACAGAAGCAATGGAATTTTAACTTGAGAATGGAACATGAAGTTAAATGATCATATGTCATTTTTATCAGTAACTCGATACTGATGACAAAAATCATCACTGTACATTTTAGTAGATAAATAGAGTAGAGTGATATGGGACATATGAATTTATCATCCTTTCAACATTTGAAGCAAATGGTTGAAATTTTACCAAATTCTCACCTCTGAACAATATGAATTCATTATTGAATGAGTTTTAACAACTATAAAATATATAAAGGAGCGATCTCATAAAACAATTTTAAGTGAAAATTAGATTAAAATTATCTTTCTCCATAAAATAATAAGTTTCATTATTGTGCAAATTGTTGTAATTTTACGCAAAGTGTGATGAATGAGTAGTCACTCATATATCGATAATTGATCGATCACTTGTGGTTTGCAAATAAACGTAACGTTTTATTTTACGAAATCTTATCATCAATCGTTTATCGAAATATAAATGAATGTTGACAGTGCTTAAAAATTTATTTTATTTTACTCCATTATTCCGTTTTCATTTATTTTTTTCAAAATTATTTCATCCTCCATCTGAGCATGTAATCACAAAATTTTTTTAACTTTTCAAATCTTAAAATTAACAAAAATCTCAAAGCATGAAAACATCATGGAACTAGTTAAGACAAAATATTGATTATCTCTGGAAATCAACGGAGGAAGAATGGTTAACTACCCATTTTTGTCCAAATATTTTGGACTAAAGGATTCCAATTTAAACGAAATGTCTCACATTTATTATTAATTGTATCTCCTGTTCAATACGTATAAACATAACTTTAACACGTGCTATAAATATCTTCTTCATTCCTTCATTACTTAATTGGTATGCAACGAAACTTGTAACTATTTATTAACAACTTGTTAATATTTGAACATATACAGCAGTTGATAAAAACTATTCACAGAGAAAAACCTTTACGGAAAGATTTCATTTTCTTGAAACAGTTGGTTAAATGAATCTCCTTTCAGTTGACCTGTTTCTCTTGGAAATTTTCTTTTCGAAACAAAATTGATAAGCCGGCCTCTTTATATATCTAATGGCGACGTATTTTTGATCTCACTAGAATTTTATTGGTCGTATATGGACGTTTCCTGTAATTTTTTTTGTTGATAAATGAAATACCAATATATAAATACAAGAGTATTATATATAAATACTAACCTTTTTGAGCCTTCGAAATTAAATATCTTCCATTTTTGGACCTAAAATTTATTAGAATTTTATTTGCAAAAGTTAACACTGTAGTTCTCGTGCGATCAAAAAAGATAATAAAATTTATTTGTAAAAAATTTTTCGTAAAAACATTATTTCTCTAAAAAAAGCGATTAGTCAAATTAAGGAATAAGATCCATGTTCATTACTTATAGGTGATCTATAACAAAGTCCAGTTGAACTGATTGCTTTAATTAAATTATGCACATCACTAGTTAATTTGTTACTTCATTCATGTGCTCCTAACAAGTAAATCTCATTCAAGCCTGAATTAAACAAGAAAGTTCATTATTCCCTAGCCGATCCAGAAGAAAATATGTGTACACGATTGAAAACTTACTGAGTTTGTACTTTGCTGCTGAACTGGAGATACTGACCTGAAATGAAACACAAAATTGTTTCATTAGAACTTAAAAAATCATTAGTGTAGCTACTCACCCGTAGTAGCAGACCTGTGATATACGTCCGCAAACTTTTCGACTACAAATAAATATGATATTGAGTTTTTTTTCCAATCTCACCCCAACATACTCATACCGAATCATTATCCTTTTACAGTCATTCACTAAATAAATCTACTTACCGCATTAAAATCATTGTTTATAGCAATTCTAATGGATATTAATAAACACTAACTTCTTTACAGAAAGTAGTGCACTTTCTGGGAAGAATTCTTCATTAAGCATATTTAAATCGATGGTAGAAAGTGTAGCACTATTATGAAAATCTCCGTTATCTCTGTAAAATGGAAAGCCACAAAATGAACAGATTATTGCAATATATCAAGTTCTTGACTCAAATCTTTCAACTGCAAATCATGGAACTTCAAATGGCTTTTATTTGAAATCAAAAAATGTTTGAGCTGCGATTTCAATTTGAAAACTCATAGAGTTCGAAAATAAAAAGATTTTTGGGTCTAAAGAGATTCAGTAAAGTAACATATGAAGATAAAATTTCTTTAATTTTTCTTCATTTCAAAAGCAAAAAATGCTTTCTTTCACTAATGATGACAATGAAGCAAATGCTGCAAACTATAAAACAGTTAATGACTTACGAACTCATCAAGTTTTTTACATGATAATTTGTTATTTGTCGGCTGTCAACTTGTTGCACGGTAGCCACATTTTCAGGCCATTCGTAAGCTTCCAAGTCTTCTGGTACTGCTAAAGTAGTAAATCATCCGTTGTTTGCTAAGTTTAGAAGTTTTTTGATAGCCAAAACCTCTTGAGATTAAGCAGCCGATCTGATAAATTCCGCACCACAGCAATATTTTCAAATTACAATGAACATTGCGACGAATAAATAGTAAACATCTAAGACATCAAAATTTACCCTCAATAGATTCTGCTTCAATCGAAGAATCTAGCATTCTTTGCAAACTCAACAACGTATCTTTTGAACAACCTGATTCCTCTAACTGATTTTTTAGTCGCATTAAAGGATGATGCTGTCTGGAATCGGTAGAAGACTGTAACTTCATTACAGCAAATTTAACTGAATCCTAAAAAGTGTAAAAATTAACACAGCGCTATGAAACTCGTAAAATGACCTTATCAAAAAGTTGCATTCGAGAACACCGAAATAAAAATTTTAAATAGCAAATTTCGATGGCGGAAAAAATGAAGCGGTTTTTAGTTCAACTTAGTTTTCATCTATAAGCAGCAACATTTGAAAGAGAGCACTGTGAATATCTCAAATATCTCAAGCAAATGGTAGTTTTAAAATAAACAGATATATTCTAACATGATTAAATTCGAAGTCTTTGATATCTCACTGCTTCACTTACCTTTTTTAAAATGTTTTCGAAAAGATCGATGAGATGAGCTGTCACCTCAAAAAGTAGTTTATTAGTTGGTTCTCCCATCAAACAACGATCCATGAAATGCAACAAAGCGCCTTCGTTACTAATCACAACATTGTTAACCTATACAAAAGCACTATAAGCTTCGGAAATTTATAAAACCAAGAATTTTTTGATCGACCAGAAAATAATCACAAATCACAAAAGTTGAGGAAACAGCCTTGTTCAATATCAATCGTTAATCCAGCTTTATTAGAATTCCAAAGACTTTAAAAAATATTCGACAAAAGAGTTGTTGTATTAAAATTTCCCACTTTTGAAAAGAGAGTCAGTGAAGCAGTGATCAGTCATAATCGTTTTGTCCATCGGAACTATTTGAACTTTTACAGAAGGTAAAAAATATATAAATTTTAGATATTTTAGAAATTTTAGATCCTAAAAAAATTCGAAATCTCACTACAGCACAACCAAATGTTGAGGACCGTCCTATGTTGCAAATGCTTTCCAGTGCCAGCACCACCGTTTCTATATTGTGCTGCATATTTCCAAAATGTTCTACAAGACTGTCACATATTGTAACATAGATATCACGAGGCAAACAATCAATTTTTCCATCCATGTTATTGTCAGCAACGCAAAGATTACGAAAAATTTTCTAAAAAGACATTAAAAAATTAATAAACTACTACAAAAAATTCATAAAAATAGCTATAATTTTCAGTTAAACGGAACTGTTCGTAATACACGAACAAAAAAAATTAAAATATTAGAGATTTGCATAAGAAAGTATAAAGATAAGGGTTAAGCAAAAGTTATAAACAACCAATGAAGCATATTTTTCAGATTATTAGCTGTAGTAAACAGAGATTACATTTATATTAATGATAAAGGAAATTTGTGAACTCACAATGACGTGCGTTTGGAACGAGACATGAGGTAAAGTTTTCGGACTAGCTAATTTGAAGAACTTCAGCAAGGTAGGAATATAATTTTTCCGTTGGGAAACTATGACAACCATAGCATTTCGAAGCACAAATTCTTTAGAACAGATGGCTAAGAACGCATAAAATGAAGCCGTCACAAGATCAACGGCATTGCCAAAGCGAACATTTGATTCCTCCTCTACAATATCGTCGTCGAAAGCATCAAGAACAGCTGCATGTGCCGAAGACGTTAACATTCGTAAGCTTTGTTTTATAAGAATACTAAAACGAAAATAATAATATATCATGATTAATAAAAAAAAAACTAATTTATTATGATTAATTGAGGCCAGCAAACTGAGATATATTAGATAACGAAAGTATACATAAATATTAAATAAATAAAAAGGAGAAGAATTGCGGAATTTCAAAAACTTATGTCAATAAAACTGAAGAGTTTAAGGTAAAAAAAATCACAATTTAGTAAGCAAACAAAATGTTCTAAAAAAAATCCAAAGGTTAAATATAATCCAATAGATGTATATATAATAGTAAGCATTTTTAGTAACAATTAATTTGGAGGAATCTTTCTGAAGATCAAAAATAAAATAGGAATTTTATTAATATTGATATATAATAGAACTCACTTAACTAAACGTAATGCATTACTTTCCGAACAACATGCCAAACGTTTAAAGAGATCGAATAAACATCGTTTCAATCGCTGCGAAGACGAGATACCTAACTGGAAAAACAAATAAATAACGAGTAAATAAAAAACTCCTGAGTCAGACAAGAAAAAGAAATAAGATCGGTCCGAACTTCAATGAAAAAATAAACTTGTTCGTATAAGTACTGCACTAGTATTTTAAATTCAAAAAGCTCGCACACAAAAATTTCATAAATTTAATACATTTAAATTAAACAATAACCATAATGGCGAATTGTAGCTGTTTTCTATTCTCTAAAATATGACTGCTCCATAATTTCTCCATTGAAGTTGCCTCCTGCATATTAATACCAACAACATTTGCCAATAAACCCGATGGAAGCGGAAATAATTGCACCAAAATATCCAAAGTAGCTAAGAAATTTGAAGGTTTTTCAAAGCCTGAATTGAAAAAAAGCTCCAAAAATGACTGCTGACTAGTTTTCCGTAATCCCCGTCGATTCGATAGAATTGGAAAAATAAATAACGCAAATGAATTTATAATGATTTCTCTGACTACGCGATCGCTTGATGCTTCATCCATGCAACAAAGTGCATACGTCCTCAACAAGGTGTCCACAATCAACCTATCAGGATTTTGATTGATAGTTTGCAAGGATGACAATAACTTGTATATAATGCTTGTTGCTGAACGAACAAACTGGCAATAAATGTATGAATCACCGGCAAGTGAGGTACATCGATAACGTATTCGTTTACTTTGTTGTGCATTTGCCACCTATAAATTGAAAAAATTTTTTTCAAATTTAAATGAATTATTCAAAGGAATTCCGAAACTTTGATCATGAATATTAAATATAAAAACAATGTGATTCATCCAGTATTTCTTGCAAAAAACTTACATCTAACACGTTTGCAACTTTCTCTAATCCACCGTTTTCATAAAATTTTGCATAATAATCGAAACAAATTTCATCGGATGAAAAATCAAATAATGTTGCATTTTCTGCCTCATCCAATATTGCATCAATTAGACGTAGTAGAGTTACTAATGCTAACGGTGGATCACCCTCTACATATTTTTCACTGTGATAATTTAACCTAAAATAACAATTATGCCAACAAAATACATTAATCTTTTTGATACAACCCTCACAATTTTTAAATTGACAAATGGAGATATGCTTACATATATTTATATAAATTTGAACTTCAAAAAACCACATAATGAAAATATTAAAGATATTCGTCTCTAGATAAAGTGAGTAATTTATGGCTAATATGATGACCGAAAAGTTATCTATGAAATATTCTATATACAATCGTATCAACACCTTACAATACATTAATAGCCGAACTGATTGTCAATTTTGCACTATTTATTTTATTTGAAAAAAGTTGTATAATAAATATATTCTGCTTATATTCGTCATTCATTAAAATCTTATATTTCTGGTTCCTAGACCAGCTTTCACCTCATCCCAATTTTGAGCTTTTACTACTATAAATAATTTAATGTTCAGTTCCAAATAACTTTACATGAGTCTTAGAGATTTCAAACCTTATTGTGAGAAAATTTAACGTATTTATATTTTTGCCAAGCGCCAATCCCTCTCGAAATGGTTCCAACCATTGTTTCAACGATGTTGCAGCTGAGATGAAGTTACAGTCGATAAGTTTATTGATTTCTGGACCATGTTTTCTCCAGAATGTTCCATTAGACTGATTTCGTGCTAATGCAAAGAGAATTTCACACAAATATCCGTATGCAGCAGTCTGTCTGAAGCGCATTTTGATGTCATCATCGGTATGGCCTTCGGGTGTTAATACTGACTTTTGAAGATTACACATATGTAACAAATGTTTCAGATTATCACCAAACGATAGCGCGGAAATCATTGCAAAACGACCCTCCTCGACTAACAACATATGCAGCATATTTTGCAAAATAGCTATACGTTGCGGTGCATTGATCATAGAAATATATCTAAAATAACTAAAATAAGGTAACACTTTTCAACTTAAATCCAAATAAAAAACGAACTTACTAAATTAACATTCAAATAATTAAACTTCGATTTAATCTAAACCAAAAATTTTAATGAGAATGATTAAAGTTTACTTCTCATCAGTAGCAGCAAACACATCAATTAATACGATTGCTCGCAATGCGTAAGGCAGCAGTGATGCTTCTTTACTATCTTCCTTAAAAACAAATTTTTTTACAATTTTAAAAAGCATTGTATACATGTTAAGATGAAATTCGAATATTAATAAAGTCGCCTTTATAAAAAATTTTGTAAAATAGCGATGTGATTTTTATTATCTTAACCATAACAAAATTGCAAAATTTTCTGTTCTAAAAACATGTTTAAAAAATTTAAAACGCCAAAAAGTTTGCAATGCAAGATTCAAAGATATTTCTGAGGAAGTAATCAGGACTGCAATGTTATGCAATGCTTTTCAAATTGAGTAAAAACAATTTACACAGAGTGAAGGAAAAACCAAAACTACCGAAACTTGTTGTAATAATCGTCCAACTAATGATATCGTTTGTGGGTCCATGTGTGAGAGAAAAATTGCTCCCGTGATATCAATACCATCGAAATCGCATAATAATCGGAGACAGCGAATTGCTAAATATCTTATTCGCGCATCCTGACTAGATGATGCAATATGCGCACAGATATGCGGAATTAAACAACTGGAAAAGGAATATCAGAAAATTGAAGAAAAAGAAGAAAAAGTGGTAAATGAAACAGACTCAAATTTTCCGGCAGGATCACATCTTGAAATTTGGAGTAAAAGTTCACTTTGCAATAGTAACTATGCATTTACGGTCGGTCTCTTTGAAACGATATTTTATTGAATATATCATCGAGAAAAAATTCATCAATAGCTTCCAATACAAAGGCAGCATATTGGAATGTGAAGTAAATCTATTCACATCTTACTGCTGATGTACATCCGCATCTCTAATACGGACACTGTTGGGTTTTGGAAATTTTTTAAGCAGTATAAAGGTTGTATTAAGCTGCCAGCATTAATTTTTAAAATCCTTACTCTTTCACAACAGCTCGATGTACAGCGCATGACATATAACTGAAGTCATTTCTCATTTTCGAAAAAAAGTTGTTCAGAATATTAAAAGATGAGAACAGTTGAGAAGCATCAATATCAACGTCACAATCTTCCTCCATGAAAAACTTTCGTGCATGGTTGATTACAACATCAGTGTTGTATTTAAATGCAAAATAGCTCGCGACTTTTTGAAGCACCGCCAACAAATCCAAAGGAACATCCTGCATAACATCTAAGTGCAACGAGAGAAATGGTAATAGCTTACCATTATATAACTTCAAGTACATAAAATACATTTATCCATTCCAAACGTTGTTCTTACTGCTTTAAAAAAATTGTAATAAAATTAATTTTAAATTAAAACGAAACATCTTAAATTGAAAAATAAAGAACAAGTTGGAAATAAAAACAATAACTTGCAAAGTAGCAAATAAAAACCTCCGATTTTATGAAAAGATGTACAACTTGCTCGTACGGTGTGTATTTATTTCCTTCAATTTCCGTTACCATAAATTTCCAGGATATCGATGGATGAAAAAGAATATCTAGCAATGCTTGCGCAGCTTCGCATCTAATTGATGAACAATATTGTTTAGAGGATATAATATCCATAATATAATGCAGGTATTGGGGAGCCTGAAGATAAATCTCTATTTTTTAACATTTTCTTCACACTCGATATGTCAGAAATATATTTCTATAATCGTAATCAATCGAAAAAAACTAAACTGAATGAAACTTAATTCAATAAGCATACAGAAAATGTCACGCCTAGATTCTTTTCGTGCATAGCTGACAGCTGCTTTGTTAAACTGCAACCGATCATAACCATCTGACTGTTTCCCGGATACGATGTGTAACGACTTGAGTTAAGTCCAAATTCAACCCATCTCGCTAATTCAACATCCATCTCACGTACCTTTTCTGTAATTTGTTTTGAATAATAAAATTTCGTGATTATCAAGAAAAGAAGATATGAGTACCGAAAAAGAAACAAATTCTGCAAACGTACAGATGCAAAAATTCATTTCTTGTTTAAATTTTCAAATTTTAAAAGTTTAATATTAAATTACAAATAAAATTTATAAAAAGCACATACCTTCACAGGATGCAGCTTTGGTATAAAGTCGTATGCTACTTCGTATAGTTGGTAAAATAGTTTCCATTGAAATTGTCCAGTCATCACTAGAATGCGAGAGAAGTTACATTGTGGAGCAACAAGTTAAAAATAAAAACTGACAATATTATGATATGTAATAATTCTCACAATTTTATTCCATTTTATTTGTTTAAAAAAAGTGAGTGAGTGACTTGGGCCAAGACGATCTCAAAGCACCACAGAACAGCAAAAATGAGAGCTAATTAAAATTAAATAATTAAAAATAATTTACACAATCTCGGTGAGTGGCTTGGACCAAAAGGATTCCAGAGCACCACAGAAAAGTTCGTACTCCAAATCTGTTGGTTTTGCGTCCTCCACACCTTTCCATGGATATTCCAAATTCTATATATCAATGGTTTTAAAATCAATTATAAACTTTAGTTTAAACAAGAAAAACTCAACTGGAACTAGAGTACAGAAAAACAGCACGGCGACATTAAGATACTAAATTTATCCTCCAACTATAAAATGACTCGAGACTGAATCTCGTCGATCGTTAGCTTCTTTGTGAATAACCTATATCCATCAAACAATCCGTCGATCCTACTAACGAAACATACAAAACGGTCTGTCTCTCCTCACCCCCATCACTTATACAAAACACGTAAGAGTAACTGATAACTTACCTGAATGGTGATGTTATCAATCTGTTGCAGAAGAGGAGAGAACGATTCGCTATCTGCCGATATTTTCTCTAAATTTTCCACAAATTCTTTCTTATCTTCCTTCGTCACCATATCTCATTTATCACATCTAAAATAAAATATATTTCACACTGCATATCAAAACTTCAATATTACTTGATTGATCTGATTACATCCAATAATTCTATCGAATCAGCGCTAACAATTTGGTTTGATTTGTGAATATATACATCTTCATATCAGTTTATGACTATGTGGATGTACGGTAGGCGGACGTAAGTCTGTTTCAAAGAATTGCACACTGTACATCAAACTGTTATCCTTCTATTTTCACTATTAGCTCATTGTTCATCGAACAAACTGTGAATAGCGGGAAAATATCAATCACGTACGTATGACAACACTACAAATACAATGAGAATGATCGAGAAAGATAGATAACTAAGGAAATTATAGGGCCTTAACCTATTCAAAAAATCTGAACCACTTATGTGACGTAATATAAAAAGAATCCGTAATATAGCGGAGGAAGAAAAGAGCAGTATAGCAAATTGGACAAGCGTTGCACACGTCAAAATATTAAACATATACACGTAGCAGCATATGACAGCAATATACCAGTAGGAAAGAGAGAGGAAGGACAGGGAGAAAGAGACAGATGACACAAAATACAGATAATGAATTTTCTCTTCCGGTATGAGATATGGTTTCACGTTCACTAACATCAAGCAAATTCTCTTACGTCACGTCAATACGCTCATTCTAATTACACGCACACGAACTTCTATTATAAATATAGAAATGACTTTAAAATTTTCACAGCGTTCCGGATGAAATTTCACATGCAGACAAGTACGGTAATATTACTGGTGATCTTCGCATTGTACTGTCTGTAATTTGGCGGGGAATGGGAAACCGGTTTTTAGAATACGAACGGAAGGACACCCGTGAATTCCTTAAAATTTGATAAAGAGGAAATTATGGTCAAAATTTAAAAATTTTTGTTGTTAGGGGACTTTTGCAACAAATTCTTCAACATCTGGCAAACCTCCAATCGAAGTTAGTGACGTCATTCATTGGAAACGAAATTGATGTAATGGTTCATTTTTCATCAATTTAAATAATTTATTTCCATTTCTGATATATTTATTTTCATAATTTTACTTCAGTTTATTTATTTAATAGTAGTTTGTAAGTTATACGAGCAAACGGTTTGTTGTATTTAATGATAGTGTTTAATTGTGGTATATGAGAGAGCAATGACTTAGTCGTTGCTACGGCAAGAAACAAAAGTGAGAGGGACTTTTCAGTGCTTTTCATATATCGTATTCCAATTCTATATCATACTGAAAGCCGCAGTTAGATTTTGCATTTTTTTTTTACTACATGTATTTTCCTGAATAATGATTGTTAAAAAGCTGTTTAATCGGTAAGTAGTTCAGACATAGTTTAGTATTTGTTTGTTAGACATTTATTTAAGCCTAGTTATTCCGTGACAGGAAAAAATTAGCTAGATGTGATTGGTGCTTTTTTTTCATCTTTTTTGTCTTTAATTCTTTTTCTCTTTTTCTGTTCTTCGCCTTACTCTTTTTATTGCTATTAGTGACTGGAACATTCATTTTTTTTCTTTTCGCTATAACTTCATTCTTTCTTATCCGTTGTTATCATATAACTAATAGGCGAAGTGGATTATGTAGAACGGTTTATGCCTCCTCTAATGACCTACTTTGAAATATTAAAGAGTGTGTTGGACACTTTTGATAACAAAAGAGACAAGCATTATTACCATTAAAGCATTTGAATGATTTCAGGTTGTACATTAGATTCAGGAGAAATTGATGGAAGATACTGAAAACAGTTCGGGTAATAGTTCATTGAGTGGTGTTGCTGGTACTTCAGAAACAGTGGATGATGGTGAAACTACTGGTTATTTTTCGTTTCTTCTTTTAAATTTTGTTACAGTGTTCTTGAAAAGAGCCAAAATATGTAAACAAAAAAAAAGTTGCTTATTATCAATAATGATTTCCTCGGGAACATTTGTTATCATAAATTAGTAATATTAGCTGTGTTTTTGTGTATGTCATATAGCAGCGTTTTAGAAATCTTTTGGAAAAGATTTTAGATTTAATAACATTTTGCCTGAAAAACACTGCTTACTGGTTCGCTAGAATCACTAAGTGTGGTATTACAGGATAACGAGTAGTTAACAATATTAATATTGATGATTAATAGCGGACGAAATGCTTTTTCAGACATATGTCGAGTTTGTAGAAGTGCTGGTGACAGTGCGTTGTATTATCCGTGTCTCTGCACGGGAAGCATCAAATATGTTCATCAGGATTGTCTTCTAGAATGGCTCAAATATAGCAAAAAGGAAGTTTGCGAATTATGCAGTCACAAGTATTCTTTTCAACCCATTTATCGATCAGATATGCCTCAAACTTTACCACTTTCGGAAATCATACGAGGTTCATCCTTATTTTTTTCTTACATTTTTTTCTTGAAAAATTTAAAAATATTATTGGGTCTCATAAAAAGCTTTGTTTATTTGGTTCGTGGCACATATTTTTTAAAAAAGTGTTTTATATTGGGAAAGAATTTATTTTGATAATGTGTGTCACCTTATATTATTCTCTGATCTTTTCTGTCGTGTTTTGCCACTTCTAACGGTTTTAGGCATTTTGTTTAACATGGGACGTATATTACGCTCTTGGGCAATTTATACACTTGTATTGGTTGCTTGGTTAGGTATTGTACCAATAACAGCCTGTCGCATATACAGAATAGTTTTTTCCGCTTCTTTATCTAGCATGCTATCATTGCCATTTCAACTGTTCTCACTGGACAATTTGCTGGTCGATTGTCTTAAAGTAAGTTGTCGCAAAAAAAAATTTATGTAAAAACGATTTCAGGAAAATATTTAGTTCAGTTTTTGACATTATCGTAGTGTTTGAAATTGATTGTGCTGGATAATTTATATCGACAGAATGGTCCACAGAATAATTTGACGGTTGAAACAATTAGTTTTTTGCTTAACTCTTTTACATTGAAGAATTAGAGTTTTTGCTGTCGGCATGAAAAATTATGAGTACAGTAGTGCAAACGATTTATTTGTAACATAGCTGATGAATGTTTTATATGGAACCATTCGTGAATATTAGTCCCTTAGCATTTGTGGGCAAGTTTTGACAAAAATTTGAATAAGTACAATGTGATCCATTTTACACTTTCATTAACTCTTTTTACATTTAAATCTACTGCTATCGTTTCTTCAGGGTTGCTTTATTGTTTCGATTTTTCTGTGCGCTTTTATATCACTTGTTTGGTTACGCGAACAGATTATTCATGGTGGCCCACAGGAATGGCTCAATGTAGAAGATGGTGTTAGAGATGCGAATGCAGAAAATGCTTTAGATGATAATATTGATGCCGTGGTTAGTTAATGACTTTTTGCTGTATGTAAAGTTTTATTTTCATTGCTTAAACTTGTGACTTTTGTAAGTAGTCAGTTGCTCAGGTAAAAAAAATTCGGTCGTATTAAGTGATGAACTTTTGAAAGTTCTCAGGTTGCTGAAGCAAGGGCTCAAATTGCTGATAATGGTATGGAAGAAGGAGAAATAGAAGGGCGAGGAGATGAAGTGGAACAGGGTCAAGAAGATATTGCAGTTCAGGATCAAGCCGATAATGATAACTGGAGAGAATGGGAAAGAGTAGCAGATGAATTAACTTGGCAGAGGCTTCTTGGTCTGGATGGATCACTCTTGTTTCTTGAACATGTTTTCTGGGTTATTTCACTGAATACCTTATTTACTGTATTATTTGGTATGTCTTTTTTGATTTGAGATTTTTTTCGCATGTGCTAGAATCTTTATTTAAACTTTCAAAGGATGAAAAGGCTTGAAAGTACGAAAATGATTGCAACATAGTTTTTGTTATTTTTGTGACATATTTTCAGCATTCTTGCCTTATCAACTTGGTCATTTCTTTCTGAAAACTATTGGATTAGCATCTCGAATCGCTTATTTTCCGACGCTTACATCTGTACTCCTCGGATATTTTATTCTTAGTTTAATTGTTCGTTGTCTCCATGTTACAGCAAAAATCTCCAGAATAGCTCCGTAAGTTTACAGATCTCTTAAATGTCTTGGAAAAAAAAACATATCCTAGAACAATTTTTTAACTGAACTTATTTTTTAGAGTGTATAGAATATTGGGAATGTGTTATCTTGTCCTTAAAGTTTTTCTCCTCGTACTTACCGAAATTGGTTTCTTTCCGATAATATGCGGTTGGTGGTTAGACATCTGTTCGCTGGTATGTTTTATACGATTTTGGCTTTTTTGGATTCATTGATCACTGCAAGATTACACTTTTCTACTTTCATAACAGAATATAAAATAGAATATAAAGTACGTTCATGATAGAATATAAAGTAGTAGTAATTAGATGACATATGTGTTTGCTTCTTACATTAGCCAGGATTTCGATTTGTATTTTGTCTATTTTTTTAGCCTCTGTTTGCTTCAAGTTTATCGCGTCGTATTTCTTCCTTCATGGTGTCCCCAACATCATCTCTTTTCATGCACTGGCTTATTGGTATGGTTTATGTCTTTTATTCAGCTTCTTTTGTATTGGTTCTGCGCGAAGTGCTTCGTCCAGGCGTTCTTTGGTTTTTAAGAAATTTAAATGATCCAGAATTCAATCCAATACAAGAGGTATGTTAGTTATTTCATGATTGCATCATTTTTTTTTATATGATTGAAAATGGAATTTAAGGATGCTCATTCAATTTTAATAGATTTCTATTGCTTCAGTGTTAAAAACTGCAGGTTAAATTAACGGTAAAATGTTTAGATGATTGAACTTCCCGTTATACGACATTTAAGGCGACTTATTGCATCGACATCAATTTTCTTCACAACAATTCTGCTTCTAGTTTATGTTCCACTTTGTTTCATAACGCGCTATATACCATCTGTACTGCCATTCAACCTAAGTTTGGCTGCCGAAACTCCTCTTAGCGAGCTCTCTTTGGAATTACTTGTTTTGCAGGTAATACAAATTTACGTCTCGAATTCAATTAGTTACTTGCCACATTCCTTTGTGATAAAATGTAGAACGAATCTGTTACAGGTAGTGCTTCCAGCTCTACTTGAACAGACTCACGCTCGAACGATTTTGAAGACAGTTGTACGCACTTGGTGTTGTATTTTTGGGCGACTGCTCCAACTAGAGCATTATTTGTTACCAATGGAAGAAAACGAGAGCGAACGTCAGCGACGCGAACCACCACCAGCCCAACCAGTAGCTGGATTAGGCTTGGCTGCTCAACATCAAGCTTTGCTTCTCGTTCGAGAACCACAGGGATTTCAAGCGTATAATAAACCATCACATTTTTCGCTTCGAGTCATTGCTTTGCTCATAGCTCTTTCATTTACGTCAATGTTCACCAGCATTATGTTTTGTGTGATACCTGGTTAGTTTTAATTCTTATTTGTAATTTTCGCAAAACGACTTTTATGAACTCCAATGTCAGTTGGATGGTGTTGCAGGATTGAAAAGTGAGACAAGTCAATAAGACAGCATCGTTTTTAGAAATTCAAGTTCTAGACATTTACATTCCTACCTACAAAACAGAATGGATAGTTGGCTAGCTTTATGTGCCCATCGTTCACACATTATTTCAAAAATTCCGTGTACTTAAAAGCATACTGTGCTGAATGATCAGAGAGCAGAAATGCGGTTAAACTGTTAAGAAAACTTACTGCAGTATTGATTTTCGTTCTCATTATCATCGAAACGCATGGCATTAATTAAGTAATTGCTCGTGAAATTATTTATTCAACAGAAATCTGAGAAGGGGGAAATTTAATTGAGTTTAAACAATTCCGGTATGACAAGTTAAATTAATTTCAGTGACATTTGGACGTTTCATAGTGCACAGAATATCAGGTCATACGAATATCCACGATTTATACGCAGTAGCTGCTGGATTGCATGGTTGCTGGATCCTACTGAAATTATTTTTTTTAATTCTCGAATATGCTCCTCAGGGAACATACTTCTTACTCTCAGCTTTTCGCAATATGGCACTTACAGCTGTTAAACTGTGTGCTGTATCTGTTCCGATTTTAATAGTAATACCACTTCTCGCTGGAATATCTTTTCATCTGGCTGTAATCAGTCCAGTACGTAATGCACCGTACCAAACATCACTTCTTTTTCCATGGCAACATTGGGCAATGGGTATCCTGCATTGTAAGATATTTTGCGCAGCTGTCATGATGGGGCCTAATTGGTGGATGAAACATGTTTTTGAGCAAGTAAAGCTTTCTTTTTCTTTTTGGTTTGATTCTTGAGGAATTAACTGTACCTTTGCTTTTGAAATTTGGCTACTCGAGTTTTTTCAGAATTTTGTTTTTAACAGTAAGAATTTGTTTTCTACCAAACATGAATTTGCTTACGCTTAAATTTCCTTATGAATTGCTTTTATTCGTTATAGTTCTTTTTAACTACTTATTTTAGTTATATGCCGATGGCATTCGTGGCTTGCGTGTTCATTATTTGTATAAGGAACTGGTTGCGCCAATTCTCGCCTGTTTGTCAATTTATCTTTCTGCACCACGTGTCATCTGTTCATTAATTTCTATGGTCATAGATGTTTCAAACGAAGAGCAAATTGTATTTCTGCGCTATTCATATCCAGCTACTCTGCTTTGTATATTTTGCGTTTATTTCGTTTATTGGCAATGCACCAAACTTAAGGCTTTGACAGAAAAAATCCGAAATGACAAGTACGTTTCCAAACTTTCAAATTTTCTTCCACGGTAAAAATTAGAGTGTTAGAGAAAATTGAATAATGTCGGATGTTCACTGTTCAATCTTTTGGCATTAAAATCTCATATTAGATCGTAAATTCTGTTATAATTCACTGAATTAGACTGCACAGGTTTTTCTCGCTGAGAAATCAATAAGGATAACCTTGGTAAATAATTTTTTATGCAATTACCATTATTACAGGTATTTGGTGGGAACTCAGTTGGTCAACTATGAAAGAAATCAGATGGAAGTCAGTCATTAAAAGGACTTCTCAGTAACTGTTGGGTATATGAACGAATTTTTGAACAACGGAACGCTATTATAATAGTATGAGCAAATGAGCTTTACTTTTGGCATACGGTTGTGCAGCATGTTTTTTTGGCTTGAATCTTGCCTTTGTAGTACCATGGCAATTTCATTGATAAATAGTTGCATTTGAAAACAATGGTATTTTAAAATGCTCGATTTTCTGAAAATAAATGAATGTACATAAGAATCGCTGCATGCTCGTTAAATTGACATAGATGAGGGTGTAGTACAAGTTGTACTGAATTACTGGCATGTCAAGATCAATCCCACAATGAATATTTGTTTGATGGACAGTAATTAATTCATGATGTTAAGATTCTACGTTTCAATTTGTTTTCTACAATTCAACGCTGGTTAATTGTTTCTTTTTTTCCTCACAGAGATGGATAAGCGAAATGAAACCGATATAAATCGAGTAGATCAAGAACCAAAATGCTATCACTGGATTTTCTTTGCTAGTGCAATGAACTGAAACACATGTAGTAGCATCTACAGTTCAAACTGCAAGCAAGTTTTTTTAGGATCAGATTCAAAATAATTGGGATTAACAATATTGGGAAAAGGGACTTAACATTTGAGTGTTTTAGGATGTATGATATTGAAAATCAAATCTACTTCATTCTTTATTAACCAAAAGAAGAAAGAAGGAAGTGTAAGTAGAACGTTGAAATGCAATGCAAAACAGTTCAAATCATCAAGATTGCACATTCGAATAAATTTAAGTAACTGCCTAAATTTAAGTAACTTCATAACATTTGAACTTTGAAAAGCAGAATTACCCAACAGCTAATCCAGAAGTTGCAAAAACTTCAGTGAGACATCCTTTATTTGCTCAAGCGGACTTTTCTCAGCTCCTCCTTACGATGTGCTTCAAATTTCTTATATTACTTTTAATAGTTTTAATAATTAGTCAGATGCTAGATATTTAATGGTACCAATCGTTAAGTAATCTACATATTTAAAAGAGTTACAAACTAATATGAAAGGATTAAGCGGTAACATCGAAAAGTCTGTCAATAACCATGCCAAGCGACTCAGGTGTATATTTCAAATACTTTTCGGTACCTTTCGACACTGTAGAACGCATCACTCTGAAACATCATAATTTTAGATGCTTGGCAATCATTTCAATGAGTAATATTTAATGCGATAACATGGCCGCTTCGTCTGCTAGTTATGCCCAGGAATTTAAGATTTTATAGTAGAGAGAACCCCCACTCAATAAAGGAAAGTTTTGTTTACAATCTTGAAACGATAGCAACAACTTCTTTAATCCTTTTACGTTTCACAAGCTTCAGACAATGACAACAAACTTGCCTTTGCTGTAAAAAGCAAGCTATATTGTTTCCGTTACCTGAAGTTATAAAAGATATTTCACTCTATTTTAACACCCTCGATCTTCGTTTTAAGTTGAAGAAATAAATATGTAAAACTGCGGAGAATTTACCGCGCGTAAACTTCTGTATATGGCTCGCAAATTAATGATTTTATTTCGGATTTGATATCATAAGCCAATCTCACATCAGCAAGACAGTAATCTTGTTGTGCACTGATTAATCTTCCCAATTCAGCATTGAATGCCTGAAAGTATTTTGACATTATGCTTTTCCTTGAAAAGCGTCAAATTCTAGCAAACAATTATTTTCTTAGAGGACAGTCAGCCCGCAATAAAGTGACAGAATTTCATGAAACTGAAGATATAAAAAGAATAAAAAAATAATCGCAACTGTTAGAAAGTTGTTACATATAAAACAATGATTTAAAATGATTTAAACGTGATTAGACATGAAATCTAGAAAGATCTCCCGTAAGTGCTGAAATGAAACGAGTAGACTTTTCTCTTTAAATAGAGCACAAAAAAACAATATAATTCTTAAGGATGATTAGATCTTTAACTCAAACAATATTTACGTCTTCGGAGCAATACTATTTGAAATTGGAAGAGATAGATATTAAAAATGAAACAAACCACAAGTGCATTTTTTAGTGTACTTTTGTCGTCGAAAGTAGACAAATCTACTGTTATAATTGAAACAACACGGTTCCAACTGAAATGCTAAAATTTATGTAATAATTTAGATAGATTAGAAATTTCAAGATTACTGCACTGCACAGATTTACTCGATTCTATTAACTGAAACTATTTACAATTTCAAACATCACTCATGTTGCTAAACGCGATAGAATTGATTTTTTTTAGTAGCAAAAAATTTTTATCGCAATAATAAATAGATAAATTAATCATACAAAATGTATAGGACAAATTAAAAAAACAAAAAATTAAATTTGAAGATTTTTGTCCTTTGAGATACCTTTGGAGATATTTTTTGCTGTATGCATTGATCTCAGAACGATAGAAAGAGCGCACTTGAGAATTATGCTCACCAACCACCGCAAACATTCCATTACTTTGAAGGGTATTATGAATATAATTATTATTGTTTAAGAGAAAAAGAGCAGCTAATGTTTCATCGCTATAAGTTCCTGCCTTGTTTTTCAGATTCAAACCCAATGCAGATAATGCACGTGCTGGAAATATTTTAGCTTAAAACAGCCGTATAAATAAGAGTAAATACAAAAAGTACCACTATTTTAACTTACGTTATTTATTTTAATTTAATTCAAATGCTACTATAATAAACCGTTAAAAAGGGTGATTGGAAATGAAGATGAGTAACATTGTTTATTGAACTAATATTTCTTTCGGTTCTACAAAAATTAATATTCATTTTGATTTATTATGAACTATAGTTTTTTCCAGAACTGCTGCTTAAATTATCCCCAATCCTTGAATTAGACATAATACTTCGTCATTATAATATAGATCTTATTCTGTGGACAAAAGCGGTTTTTTTCTACAGTCGTTATAAAGAAAAGGAAATACCGAAAAGTCGCGGAAAATGAGTTGCCGGATTTCCTTTCGCTCCTGTCGCGATCAATAAATTTGTCACTGTCTGTCGATAATCCATCAAACTATTCAAAAAATTTAGTGTCTGAAAAGCAATGATTCTTAATAAAAGCAATTTTTCTGTCAAGTTTGATTTGAATTCACATAAATCACTAACATTCGATGTAATTTGATGTACATTGCCATCCAAGGGCACAAATTTGTTGGAATCATTTGTCAAATGATCGAAAAAACCATCAAGAGCATCTTTTGTCATGTCATTAATCTTTTTCACGAAACTCTCATACGGCACATCTTCAACAGCGTTCTGCAAACATCGTGAGCTATTTCATTTCGCAATATCCATATTCCATTAGTTCTGTTACTAATACGCTTCCTTTAAAAAATTTTACATTTAGGACTAGCTTTTTCGTGAAAAAATTTTGTTTCCAAGCTTTCTATATTTCTATATTTAGTTAGCCTGAGGCGAAGGTATTTCAAATTAAAGGCTAAAGTCAAATGGATTAAGTTAGACTACCATGATATCATGCAATATGATTCAGATGCTCTCTTGGCCTCTCAGCTATGTAGTAGAGTGAACATTGCTATAGAGGAGTATTTAACACACAGAAATCTGGAAACATTAAATTCTATCCTAAAATCTAATTGAAATTAGATTCCTAGAAAACTACATTATCGTGCAAAAAAATAACGGAAGTAAATCGATACAACATTTAGAAGAAAGCTTAGTCAAAATATCATGAACAAGAAACATACATTCCCAAGAGATAGTAACTGTAAATAATGCGCATTGATGTGCTTAAGAAGAGGCAAAAATGGAATTAGAGAGCAATTGATTCCATCGATTAGATTGCTTGCACGTTCCATAACATACAATAATGGACGACCAAATAATAATTGCTGTACTTTGGCTTCGGCACTTACATCAGCTATCACTTTACTTACCAATTCTGCTTCAATCTGTAGCATTATGAAAATTGAAATTTTTTGCTGTATGAAGTCATCATCTGTTATGTTTGTTATAAAATCAGAATTCATATTCAAGCAGTTAAATTAAAAAAAAATAACTTCTATGAGCGCAAGCAATGTTCCAAATAAAACCAAAATATTTTCGACACCATCATCTGATGCACGCCATTCCCATGCCGAATCTGATATGTATTTTTATAATCCACTTATTAATTAGAGAAAACGAAAATTGCACTGTTAAAGTGACATAAAAAAATAAAGTTTTTTCTGAATTTTGAATTCTCAGAAACACTTCAAAAAATTTCTGTGAGAATTAATAACAATTGAAATAAGAACCATATCTTTCAGAAGAACGACCAGTTGCCTTTCGTAAAACTCTGAAATAACAATCTGAAGTGTTACATGAAACTCTTTATTATTCATCTTCAATGAGCTTTAAAGCCTGAAGAACTGTATTTCAAATGATAATATAAATCACTGATAATTCCTTAATGAATTCGGAATTGTCATTATTAGGATTATCGATAAAAATCAACAAATGTAAACTTACTGCCTCAATGGTCCTGCTGATTTCGAAGATAATGAAATACTGATTTTACTATTTGAAGGGAATCCCTGTTGACTAGCAGCAGTCAGAGTTCGAAGCATATTATCGCATCTAATACTAGCATATGTTTTGATCACAGAACCTTCTGGATTATAAGTTAACAACCAACGAGCTATTTGTGCACATTGCTCAATATTGCGCAATGTGACCAGCCCACGCAGTCGAGTACTTATTACTTCTAAAATCACTTTAATTCAAATTTCAATTTAAATGATCACCAATTTATTTTTTGCATTTTTCCAATTTTATGAATGAACATAATTATTACCACCCGTATTCTAACAATGCGTAAGTTAATGTAAATGGTGAAGATCTTAGTTATCAATAATTGTACGCTGTATGTGAAGATAGGCATTCTAAGAATGCATTAAATTAAATATCAGTAATGATCTGATGGTATGGTATATAGCCAAGGAACATAGAAATTTGTATTAATGACGAAGAGATTTAAATTCCAAAGAATTCTTCCCACGTAAAAAAAAAAACTATTTTAAGTTTCGGTTTCTATAAAAATAATCTTTTATTAACAATACATTTTAAGATTTGATTTTGATAAAATAAGTTTTGATAAGCAATTTCTACAAAACAGCACTTTGCATTGATTTTAGAAACTAGCCGTATTCATTATCTAAAGATTCGCTGATAATTGCTGCATCCAAAACTACTGAATTTGCAAGTAGCATATTTCGAAATTCTTTCTCGAGTGCACAGCAACCAGATTCAAAAGTCATTCTCTGAAAGGAAATATGAATAAAATCTGGAAGAAATGCGCAATGTATAAACGGATTAAAACAACTTCTTTACGAATAACAAATTACTTTGTTTTGGACTCGGCTCAGTTCCATTTCAGCTTTGAAATGAAAACAGCTGTAACTGGAAAAATCCATGGGTCTTTTGCTGATAATAATTTGGTCAGAATCATCACGCCGACTATGCAGCCATTCAGTTCAGCATTAGCTTAGTATATGCTAATGACTGTATATAAAAACTTCTCTAATAAAGCTTACGATGACATACATCAGTCATTTCGTTTCTCTTGCTAACCAAACCTGCCACAGTTTCGGACTGCCAGATTTTAACAGGCAAATATGTCACAGGCTTTTTTAGCTTCAGATATCCAAGTTAAACTCGAAACATTTTAATACTGAACCTAAATCGATCTTTCCGTAGTAACTAGTGCAAGAAAATAAAAAACTAAATTCTCCTAACAAATAAAAAACCGAACTCAAAACAGTTTTATGTTGAATTACAAACTGAAAAAAAAAACCATGCTATCGAGTTGATTTTGATACGTTGAATGGGAGGAAAAGAAAGAAATAGCCTCAGCTAACTGTTCCATTCTTTCAATGAACTGTTCCCTTTCCACAGAGGCATTCCCTTCACGTATTGAACATTCTAATTCTGCAGCGCGACCATAAAATTGCTGCATCGCATCGACAGTTTTTAATACTTTTCGAATATCTATGAATAATTAAATAAGAGAAATGTTAGGCTTTATTTGCAATTTACTAAATTTATTACCATCATCTTGAATAATGATTTCTTGTCGTATCAAAGTAAACGGATGCTTCTTTATATCCTCTCATTGGATGCTATTTTGCTTCAGTAAAATAAAATGTAAAAAGAAGTGAAATTTCCGAAAAGTTAATGAAATAACTCACTTGCTTGTTTTTGTCGTAAAAGTGCAGTTTTTTCATACAGTGGAACAATACTCTGGTCCAACTGCACCAACCGATTTTGAAAACTTTCCAGTAGTGCTGTGATTTCATTATTCAAATTTCTACTTTTCTTTAGATTTTCTTCAAAAGTCTTTAACCATTCACTGTCCTAAATCGAAGAATTTTAAGATTACATCATCATATGTACTACAACGAATAATGCAAAGAATTGAACATTATTTAGCGATCAAATTCGATCGATTTCACTAATAAAACATCAATATTTGATAATATTAATCTTGTAAATTTGACTAATTAAATTTGATTAATAAAGTGTCATAACAAGATTAACAAAAAAAAAAGGAAAGGCTATTTTTAGATATAAAAATGAATAAATGAAATCTCACCTGTTGTAATTTAGCATCAACATTGCGAGCAACATAATCGTCTGAATCTATGGACATGAACAGAAATCTAGAAAAAATTGATTTTTTCGACAGTTCACATAATAACAAGCATCTTCTCTTTTCATCATCCCAAACTTCTTGTTTTTTTATAGTCATCTTCTACATGATAACATCATATTCCTATCCAACTCTTCTTCATTTACAATACAAGGATCCCGAGAAATAATAGCAAAACTTGAAAATTTCTATTAGAATTAGCAAATTTTTGAAAATTCATTGGATCGAACATTTAAAATCAATAAGCAATAAATATTGCATCATCTCAGGAATGTTCCAATACAAATCAATTAAGCAATAATTTTTCATTCAGATTAACAATTTTGATAAAATTTTATCAAATTGATTATTTAAAATTAATACTTAAAAAACTACTGATTATTTAAAGGCTAATATTTAAAAAAAAATTTTATTAAACTGATTATTTAAAATTACTGGAAACTAATAATAAGGAGAAAAACACATGGAAAATTTACAGCTACCTTTCAGACAATATAATTTAGCCACCAATGTGAAAGTAACTGAGAGAGTATCTGCGAGTTACCAATATTCGAGAACAGCTCGTTCGTTACTGGATGACAACGAATGAATGCTATCATTTGAAGAGATGTTGAAGAAATAATTAATATTCTAAAAAATGCATCGTTTAAAATTTTCAAGAGATCCTGGTATAATATGCTGAAAATCCCGAATGAATCAAGAAATATAGCTAATAATCAATCCTTTTTTTTTTTATTTCTGAAAGTTATTGTACTAAGTGATGCGCAATCGTTGATACTTTAAATTAAATTAACGATGTAACACATCATTTTCAAAAATTTTAAGGAAACCCCGAGAGATACTGATATGTGCATTGGAAATCCCGAGTGACTCCCGAATGACATTTGAGAAAAAAATAAAATCTGGAATGAAATTCGATTTGTGAATATTATTGGTACGATACAGAATGTACAACTTTTTGGAATGCATTTCCTATACCGTAAATTTTAGGAATAAAAAAAAACAGTAAAGTATTGTTGTTGACCATTGTCTTAAGTATTCTACAGGGAGAGTCTATGCGCTGCTGTTACTTACGTGACCTAACGCAGGGATGAATTTCAGGTGTTTCTTAGACTTTTATTATTGTTGGTGCTAATTCAAATCGGCTTTTTTCTAAATTGATGTAAGCGCCAAGTAGCCCAATTTTTGTCTTACCTTGAATATCGTACAAAGGAATGCAATGCGTCATTGGTATTGCTCTCCTAACATGCTTAATCAAATTTAACAATTGAACAAAAATTGAAATTATTGCTTCGACGATGAAAAAAGCACAGATTACATCACTTGTGATTCAGAATTGGATAGTTGAAAATGAAATACATATGAAGTCAAGGTGATTGCGCCGAGATGGCTTTTCAAGCTTTTCTTAAAAACGGAATGGATTTCTTTGGAAAAAAAATTTTTTTGAAAACCGTGGAATTTAAAAAAAGAAAGTTTTAGATGCAATATATTTGGCATCTAATAACGACGTTGTATTTCATGGACCTCTTATTGGCCAGCCATTTACAATGAATTTGATAAATTTTAAACTCTTAGGAGAAGATCAAGACATTGTAATTGTCCTTTCTGAATGATAGCAGATTATCGAAATATTGATGTTAAATTTACAACGAAATATTGTCCGATAAAAAAAAAAAATAAAGTATCGCAGAGTGTTTGCCAAGAAATAAATAATTGAAACTT